CAGCAGGCACGTAACCAAGGGGGGGGGGCACGTGCCCCCCCAATTTTTTTCCAAGATCGGTTGAACTTTTGTAGACCCCTCCCCAGGTCGTCGATCGATTACATGTATGTGCCCCCCCCCCCCCCAAACATCAAACTCTGGCTACGTCCCTGCCCGTCAGTACTAAAACAGCCCCCGTGAGAAGGCTCACGAGGGCTCTTTTTTTGGAAGAGCCCCCGTGGAAAAAAAAATTAATTTGAGCCCTGGTGCTGACGCCAAAAAACTGAACACAAATTTCATTACATCGTATTTTTCAAAGAATAATATAAGGGTGTATTTTTATAAACTATCAAATGAAAATATCCGGGGGGTACCCATGCATCTCAAGAACAAAACTGATTTACCGGTCGTATAATGAAATACTCACAATTATATTTTAAATGTACTTCTATTGTATAATATACACACATTTTATAGGATATTGCATCTCTTATTTCCTGGTATCATTTTCAATTTTTTTTTTATTCCTAATTCATTTAAATAATTGCATTTTTCCTAATATTACTCTTTTAATAATCCGGTGGTATTGCGACTAAGACGATGGCTTGGCTCTTTTTACTCGCCGATAGTATTGATCTTAAGTTCGTTTTCATTGGCTGCCTGCCGTTGCAACAAGCAGAATTGACAAAAAGCTCAACTCCGTTCCGGTGACAATCGACCATGCATGAAGTCTTTCGTCTATTGCTGATCTTTAACAAAAGGAGTTAAGTTTTTTGTCAATTCCGTTTGTTGCTACGGCAGCAGCCAGTGAAAACGAATTCGTTTAATCAAAATTATGGAAATGCAAGCATCACTTTAAACAAACATAACTTTTGTATTCCTCGCTCATTTTTCTTGATTGAGGTGTCATATGAAAGGTCAGAAACTAGACTTTCTAGAAATGTGATTTTCTCTTTGAAATTCAGATACCGTCCGCCAAATGACTTTCTGGTTCCCTCTCTTCAAATTGATTTTAATCACTCATGCGGTTTCGTTTTTTTTTCTGGGGCGCACTGTCTAGTCAACTGTCTTGTCCAACTCTGACTTTACTCGGGGATGCGAAGGTCGTTGGTTCGAGCCCAGACACTGCACCGAGATATAACTTTGGTAGAGTGTGAATTGGTTGGAACACGGCTTGTGTGACTCAGTGGCGGATCCAGGGGGGGGCCCGGGGGGCCCGGGCCCCCCCCCCCCCCCCTTGAGAAAAAAATCATGTAAAATCACGTGATTTTTACCTTTTTTGGGGGTTGGGCCCCCCCCCCCCCCTGGCGCTCAAGGGGGGGGGTGCAAATTGAAATTTTTTTGAGGATCAAAAAAAAAAAATGCGATCACTACCCCCCCCCCCCCCCCCCCCCCCCCCCCCCCCCCCCCCCCCCCCCCCCCCCCCCCACTGAGCGTTTTTCAAATTTTCGGGAGCAAAAAAAAAAAAAAAAAAAAAAAAAAAAAAAAAATTGAGGATCAAAAAAAAAAAAAAATGTGCTCACTACCCCCCCCCCCCCCCCACTGAGCGACTTTTCGGATCCTGGATCCGCGCCTGGTGTGACTGACTGGACATGATCCAGAGTGAAACGGTGCCGGGATTGTAAACTCCAAAACTTGACCCTTGAATTCTTGTTGGGATAAATTTGGTTTCTAATTTAACAGTTTGATTTAATTGCTGTTTGTTTGTGTGTTTATGTTAGTTTTGTGTCAATAGAAATAGTCTCCTTCGATGGCCTGGGACATTTTCATAACAATAATTGTCCCGCCTTATGATTCAATGTATAGACCTTTAATATCTCGTGCATAAATTCTTTCGGAAAACATTCATTCATTCATCATTATGTTCATATTCCGGAAATGATGATGATCGATGAATGTAAATTAATTCAAGATATCAAGAAAAAATTATGATCTTCTATGTCGAGATTCGGAGGGAAAGGTCAAAATTATGATGACGAAGACCTACAAATTATGAGTTAGAATTACAACGCCCCCTGCATTGGATCCAGATCCCCAGGCCAGGCAAGCTCTTTGATATATGGCGCGGGGAATGAGTAGTAACCACCGACGCACCTGGCTACCTTGTATAACAGTATTCAAAGAGAGAGGAGAGGAGAAGTAGAAGAAAGAGAAGAAGAAAAAGAAGAAGAAGAAGAAGAAGAAGAAGAAGAAGAAGAAGAAGAAGAAATAAAAGAAGAAGAAGAAGAAGGAGAATAAGAAGAAGTCCTTCTTCTTCTGCTCCTGATAAAGAGCAAAGAATTTGAAGAGATCCAACGGTACTTAAATGCACCTCCTTCGTGTTTAGAGCTTCATTCTGTGATTGATCAGACTCCAGATTACGGGTTATGAATCAGAAAATATTCCCCATGTATTAACCCCCTTCCCTTCCCCCCTCTTGATATTATAAAATTACTCATAAAATCGGTAGATTTGGTTGCCGGCACCCGTCACTAGAAATATCTCACACCGTCAAAGATTTGTTCCAAAGCTGGACTCAAAAATGTCTGCTTCAATTTTGTATATATGGTCACGAAGGTCAATTAAACTCAAGTGCATTCAATTCAATTCATTTATAATGAAGGTTAGTTCAGTTTGAGGTCGAAATATGGATTACATATTGTTGCCATGGATTTCAAGTGCCGTTCAATTTTTCCAAAAATTGGAAGAAGTTATGTGCTAAATAGAAAATTGTTCATGTAGAATTGCTCACTCTTTGTCTCTATCATTGGGGAAAATAGGGTATCATAAGCGATTATTATGTGCGCGAGCGTATGTGCGTTCGTGTGTGTGTGTGTGCGCAAGAAAAAGAAAATATAAATGGAGCTGATGAAGATAAAGATGAAGATGTTGATCATACAAATGATGAAAAAGGACAACGATGATGACGATGGTGATAATGAAGACTGTGGTGATGATGATGATCTTAAAGATATGGGGATTAAGGTGATCAAACATTACAAAGATGATGATGATAAAGATGATGATGATGATGATGATGATGATGATGATGATGATGATGATGATGATGCAAGATGATGATGATGATAATGATGATGAAGATGAAGATGTTGATGAAAATGAAGATGAAAATAAATATGATAATTGATATGGAGATGTCCAAGATATGATTACGACGAAAGTGATGACGATTATGAAAGTGATGATCATGGTGAGAATGAAGATGATGATGATGATGGCAACAATGACAGACATGATGAGGATAATGAGGAGGATGATGATGAAGATTAAAATGTAAAATTCCATGAGTAACTACATTGTAGATCTAATTATAAACTCAACACCCAAGTCACAGACTAAAGATGAGATTAAAGGCCAAGCTTTTAATACATAATACCAATTTGAATGTATTCTGAAGAACAGCATCATATACTACAAGTATATCATGTGTAATGATGACCCAAAATTAGAATATGGGACAAAATAATAAGAAAGAAACTTTTTTGTTGACCATTTGAAAGGAGATTGAGGAAAATTCTTTCACTTGACCAATACTTTTTGAACAAATATCTATTTGACCTATATTGACTTTAATCATGTGATACCTGTATTATGGCTATGAGAAAAGGGGAATTCAATAGTCAACAATTAACTTTTTAAGAAGACAAACAACTTCAATCTTACGATTCATGGTGTAGCTTCACGATTCATCATTCTCAGAACTTACATAGATTGCTTGTGATATACATATGTATTTTAATTAAAGTGTACCATTAACCAATCACCACAAAAATTTTGCTCTGCATGTGAGGGGTTACACGTCACCATACTTTACTGAAGAGATGAGCTCCAAATATTACATGTACTTCAATCTATAGATATTAAAATTTTGAATACACTCTCAATTAAAATTAAGGTGACTTGTGAGTAGACTAGTGGACGTATCCGTACGTACTCGCATATATAAAGGGCCTGCACAGAAACAACATTGAGTTGGGTTCTGTGCATATTGTTTAATGTTATTCTTTATTGTCATCCTGCCATAATGAATACAGACCAGTGCCACAGGGCTAATCCCCGTTGTGCCAAGCCACAAATCCCCCCTGTGCCAAGTTTATTTTGAGATACCGGTAATCTGATGGTGCGATCAATATCGCGTGCAAAACATTCGGGAAAGTATAATGAGCATGAACAATAACTGCTATTACGAATGCGAGCATGCATGCATAAAGCAGCTAAGCTGTGGCACGCTCGCGTGAATTAAGCAGCCAATCGATAGCGCGCTCGTGTGTACAAAGCACTATAACGGTAGCGTGCATTCAGCCTTATGGCAGGATATGAGTTAACCGTTGACCCTCAGAATGACAGGTTAAGTTCTTTTCTGTTAAGTTTAAACATTCTAGTTGGACATAAGCTATTTTTTAAAGTGATTAGTACACTTCAACCCTCTAAACAACCACTTCAAATAAACTCTTAGGTATTTTAGGACTTATAACTCTTAATAAATGTATAAACAATTGTTAGAGAATTTACTGGCCATAATATGAATTAAAATGCATACATAAAGAGGTATTCAGGGTTCCCAGTGCTTCATAAAAAAACAAAATTTCTTCAATTTTCCCAGATTTTTCCCTGATGGAGTTTTTAAAATTCCAGGATCACTCAAGGGGGCATTTAACACTCCATATAAAGACACAATAGCCAATTATATATTGGAAATGATGTTCGGACATGCAACAAAATATAGGAGAGCAACGACTTTCTTTTTTAAACTTCCTAATTTTTCCCTTGTTTGGGTGGCTTTTCACAAATTCCTGGACTTAACCCCGACTGGAAGACAGGAACTTTCATGTTTCAGGTTTTCCATGATTTTCAGCTATCCCCTTTTCCAACTACATGTAATAGCCTGTTCACATTATAGGAAGTTCATATGAAAAATCGTACAAAGAAGCGTTTTTTTTTTATAGAATCATCGTATAGCGGAAGGGGCATTCAGACTAGACAAAAACACTGAATAAAGAAACATCATATAAAGAAACTATTTTTGAAGAGGACGTTTTTTAAGACAACTGGCAAATCATGAGTCGATAAGCAGCGCCCCGATTTTTGTACGATACAGCATTCAGACTAGCGCTTGACCCTGATATTCAATAGAGGTTTTTGTTCAAAACAATGCTCACACATGCATTTTGTTATGCCATGATTCTTTATACATGATGTACCATCTTCAGACCAGAAATTTTTTTAATTGCTTTTAACATAATGAAATGATTTTGTATAGCCATACGATAAATTTTGGTAGCCTGAAAATGTGGGGGCCTTACCAAAATTCTATATTGTCTTAAATGTGCTTTGTAAAAGTACAGGGTCGCAAATATCCGAATCGAGAACAAAGTGATTTGAAATATGAATTAACAAAATGAGGATTTTGTTTTGTTTTGTTCATAAGAAAATTGTCTTTTATTTAAACATTACTATGCAATGAGCTTTTGCTTTGCAGAAGGCCAATGAAATGGCAATAAATAGATTCTAAGCAGATCATGAAATTTAAACAATACATTTTGACACAATAACACAAAATCATTACTATTATCTTAAATGTTACGGCCATGACAAAAAGAGAGAAGACAAACAAAATGTAAATAATAGTAATACCTTTTTCTATTTTCAAAATGGAGATTGTAAGTAATAATGGCCATTTATGGCACTGTCTTTTGTCAAACTCGGAAAAGAAAAGAATCGAAACATGCAAATTCTTCTGTAACACACAAACTATTCATGATCATCTGCTTGAAGCCCAATTATACAATTTCATAATCATCTAATGATTTATGTACAATACAACCACTTACATTTTTAAAATAAACATGTTGAAAATTGCACAGATGGAGCACTTTGTGCACCATCTCCTTTATCATCATTATACCAGTTTTAAGTCTCTGAAAATGAGGCAAACATACACCTTTTTTTCCACAATCTGTAATCTTTTTAAAGCTCATTATTATCTCATTATACAATTGAGCATCATCCCCCACCCCCCCCCCCACTTTCTTAATGGTTTGTAGTCTTTTCTTGAAGCCCCGCAAGCACGAGTAGACAAACATTTTGTTCGGTTACGCAATGGTAAACTGCAGCACATTTTGTTTTATGATCAGGTAAAGTGTAATACACTTCATATTTCCTATTATATCCCTCATGTATAGTTGTTTGCATTGCGATTGTACAGAGCACAAAAAAGGTATAGATAAGTACTATCTACTTGTGGGACTTGTTGTACTACGATGTGGGATATAAAACAAATATTAACCTCCTTTACTCGGGCAATGGATACAAACTACCATCGCCTCAATGATCTCGGGGCTACCATCATCCCTCGCCATGGACTTGGGAAGATAGTAGCCCCGAGATTACCTCGGCGATGATAGTTAGCACCATTACCCTCGTAGTCGATTAATATTTGCTTATCTTAAAACATAGACCTACCGGTACATGACCTTAGTTGTTAGCAGTCGCCATTCATTTGATTGTAAAAGAAAACGGTGGCGTATTTTTAGGGACGATTTAAATGTGTCATACGCGGTGAACGGGGGGGGGGGTTGTTTCCTAAAGCTGTTCTTAAAGTTACACATTCTTATTATAACATACATTTTTCATGCTTTGTTAAAACATCAGGAGAAACTTTGGGCATCCCATCTGGCACTTCATATCAAGTCATTCGCAAAGTCATACGTTACTTTAGGAACAGCATCATGAAACACCCCCCCCCCCCACCCCCAGGCCTTATATTTTTACTCGACAACATTATGCTCTATGAAGATGATGTGGCATCATTTTATGCTCCATCCTCCTCCAGTTTCCCATACTTTTTCTTGTCTCCAAGTCTGTTGGGTTAACCATTTTCCAGGATATATCAAGGGTTCAGTGACACAAAGACGTAACTCCACATTTTGCTAAAATGAGTATTTGATAGCAAAATGTTCAGAAAAACATGAGCTTTCCAGGAAATACAAAGGCTGAACTCCACCCAACACCCCATTGAGGTAAATGGCTAGTGAAACATAGACTAAACTCCTTAAGGCCCAAGTGGACCTCTATCTTCAAACCAATTTTTCTCAAAATTGCCAAAATGGAGCTACTTCTTTGTGTCACTGACCCCTTGATATATAGGACTACGACGCTAGGTTATCGTTTTGTGCACCATCTTCCCCTGTTCCCTGTAGTTTTTATTGTTTTCATGTTTCTCAAGCTAATTATTCTCATGGATATAAATTAGACTATGGCGATGCTGGGGTATCACGCTGTGCACCATCTCCCTCCTGTTCCCCATAGTGTTCTGTCCTCGTGTCCAAGAGGCTAACTATACTTATAAGTATAGTTAAGACTATGATGCTGGGGCATTTTGTGCACCATCTCCCTCCTGCCCTACATAGTTTTCTGTCTTCATGTCTGTCACACCAAGGTTGTCGTTCTCTTCCTCTGTCCTATCAAAATCTTCAATAGTCATCTCGGGGTCAGTCTCGGGAGCATACACGTTCTAAAATTCAAGAGAAGGTGGTCATGAAAAGTCATTAACCCTTTAGCAACTAAACCGCCCGAAACCGCCCGAAACCGCCCCTCCTTTTACTCGCTGAACCGCCTGAAACCACCTGTTTGTTTTCAACGCGCTGTAGTATCCATCTACAATGTATGGGGTCTACCGTGAAAATGTTATGCATGCATAATTCTTACAATGTCTACAGTTGGATTCTGCATAGAAAAATAGTGCATGTTTCATATTGTTCAGAAAAATGTCAAAATGAGAGCAATATTGCAACATCTTCCAGCGAGCCATTTTTTACAAAATCTCTAGTTGGTAATGGATTAATCTAGTCTTGACAATGGTCAAAGGTAAAAGGTATCAATCACCATTTAAAAAATATTTCGATCTGTATATTAATGGTTCAATATCATTGACTATTTCAAATTATGAACTTCAAATATTGCTTCTGAAAGGAAACAGTGGAGGTTTGAAACGCTCTCAATTACCATAAAAGCGACTTGTATGCTCTCATATGCACCTATGCATGGTTGCTTAACATTGCATAAAGTAACATAACTTAACGTAACATACCGTAACGTAACGTAACATAACATAATAAAACCTTACATAACATAACGTCACAAAACGTAACGTAACGCAACAAAACATAACAAAACGTATCATAATGTAACATAACGTAATATAACTTGATATAACGTATCATTAAATAGACTTGAAATCAACAGTACATGCACCCAAACATGCTTGTATTGTCTGTGAGAAGCTGGCTAAGGCTTTAACTAAATCTAAATTGAAAACATGGACTCATGAATAAAGAAGGACCTAACCCCATCAAAACATTTCGTTCCCAATTTTATAGAACCTTAATGTTTTGAGTTATGTTAACATAAACATAAAATTTTGGATCAAAATGAAGTCTGTTAGTAACATACCTGTAAATAGCTGTTGCCTGTTGGGTCCCTGAGTATGATAGTAACAAACAAGTCTCCAGCAATGACCTGTGCAGAAGAAACACAATTGCAGCAAAATTGTTGGAGATAAGCATGACAGATAGGAATACAATGAGAGGAGGAGGAGGTGGTGGTGGTGGTGGTGGTGGTGGTGGTGGTGGTGGTGGTGGTGGTGGTGGTGGTGGTGGTGGTGATGGTGATGATGATGATGATGGTGATGATGATGATGACAACGACGATGACGATGAAGAAATCATAATAATAATAATAATGCAGACATGTATAATGCATAACATAACCACCCAGATGGTGCTCAAGGCACTTACAATAAACAGATTAAATCTAATAACAAAAATACGCTGAAAGTGCTTACAATAAAAGCAGAAGAAAAACAAAAAACAATAATATTAATATCATAAAAATAGTTTATCTGATGATTGTAACAACTGCTCCCCCCCCCCCAAAAAAAGAAGAAATACCCAGTCTTAAATTTGTAGAACTGATATTCTAGTCAATTTGAACAACATTATGGTGACATTACCATTCAGACTATTTGAAAATCCCTTATTTAAAATATTGTCAGCTTTCAAAAAATAATCTACTTGATATTTAGCAATTGCATACACACTGTTCTTTCTTCTTTCCTTCGTGGCAAATAGCTACCAAGGCTGGAATTCCCTTTAAAATCAAAGATTTCAAATATTACATTACTTCAAAAAAATCTTTATTTCCCTGATCTTGTGTTGCCAATTCAACAGGAGGCGCGGTAGCTCAGTCCGTAGAGCAGTGGTCTCGTAATCCGGTGACCCGGGTTTCGAAACCAAGGCGATGCGCTAGTGCCCTTTGGTAAGGCTTTAATCCTCACTACCAGGTCCCTCGGAGAGGACCTAAAGCCGTCGGCCTTCTGGTTGCTTACTTACAAGCATTTATGCTTTCTTAGCAGTCAGGTAAAATAACCATCACATCACATAAGCCACATCCTTTCACATAGCTCACCGTATCCAGTCTATCTATAAAAGACTTCATCGAGTTCTGCCCTGGTGCCGCTGCGCTGTCTCCGAAAACAAGAGGATTGTCCCTATGAAGAGCGCCTTTGACATCCGCAAGAAGGCCCTCTACAGTTGTAAATTTGCCACCCTGGGATGATATTGGTTCGTGCCCAAAGTCAAGTTCTGGAATTTCAAGGGAGCACGTCCCCGACTGCAGTAAATCAATGGGAAATAACAAAAAAGAAAAATAAACACTTGAAAAGAGTTGACCAAACCTCTCTACAGCATCTTATGCATGCATTCAGTAAAAAATGTATCAATGAAACCACCTGATATTACAGTCATACCCTCAATTTAACTTACATACACTGTATACTTCAAAGTTGTGAAGTTTAGTTCCTGAGAAGGATGCTTAGAATTTTATGGACAGAAAGAGTTTCAAATAATGAGGTATTTGCCATGGCAGGAACAAGACAAGAGCTTTTGAATAATATAAGAGGTCGACAGCTGACCTTCTTGGGTCATGTTATTTGAAAGAATGGCTTGGAAAATCTTGCACTGACTGGAAGAATAGAGGGGAGGAGGAGTAGGGGTAGAAGGAGGATTCTGTGGATGAGTAGCTTAAGGAGTGGGATTTCTGCAAGTGGAATTGATCTCGGGAAGAATGAATTACTTCATAGAATACGGGACAGAGAGTTGTGGCATTCCATGATCGCCAACATCTCAGGACAAGGCACGTAAAGAAGAATACTTCTGTCTGTATAGAGAAATTATGAAAGCCATATGCAACGTAAGAGTAGTTACTCCTGACAGCCAATCACTTTTTCTACCAACAATAATTCTTACGTCGGGCCTTGTCGAAAAATGTGGAGATAAAAATGAAACAGAGGTGATGTTTACTTTTTGAAGAAAATGTTTTATTTTTCTTCAACATATGACCAAATTACTCGCCTAACAACACGCCCATTTTTTTCCCCAAAACAACGTAACTAGCTGATTATTTTTGGCTCCATTTGGTTCAGAGTGCCATGATAATTATATGAGCTTCATACTGGTTCAACTACAACCTTCATCCAAACACATCATGCAAATTATAATCCGTCAATTTAGTAGATACAGGTATATTACATGTACATGTATAGCTTTATTTCATATTTTGCCATGGTGATACTTTGGATTTCATGGTTGTCTCTTCCTTTATTGAAGCCTAAAATGGGGAGGTTCAGGGCCTGATTACTGGAATCCCAGAGGATGACCTTTGACCTATGACCTACCCTGAGCACATCTCTGCTGAGGTCGCTGATGTCGGTCATTTTGAGCGTTATCTGGCGACCTTTGTCCTCTATGCCACCACCTGACTTGATCTCGTTCGTCTTGGTGCCACAGGCGTCACACGCCATAGCCATGATGATGACCTCTTTGAAGAACGGAATGTCTGAAGTCTGGGTTAAAGGTCAAATTTCCTTTTCTTATTCATTTCTATTTTAGAAGAAGAAAAAATTACAATATAGAACTAAGAAATAAAATAAAATCTGCATTTGAAAATGGGTAGATAAGGGTTAAGGGTTGTACTTTCCTTTGTTTATTCATTTCCATTTTAGAAACAAAAATGCATAATATATTACAGGAACATACACCAAAACTTGTACTTCCATTGGGTAAAATGAATAAGATATAATGCATTTACATAAACAAGACAAATGCCTCCACCCTAGATTCAGTATAAGAAATTGATGTAATTACTTGTGACATATAACGATGAAAAAACAAAAGCCTTTCTCTTGTGGTTCTTGAGATATTGCAACAAAATGTCTTCCTATGGTGATACATATTATCACCAAGTTTGAGCCTCAATTCTCTTGTGGTTCTTGAGATACCATGATAATGAATTCATTATCTGGAATTTTCAACAGCTGACCTCTGTGACCTTTAACCTAGTAACTCCAAAATCTAATCAGATCGTTTTCCTATGGTGATACATAATATCACCAAGTTTGAGCTTCATATCTCTAGCGGTTCTCTAGAATCGTGATAACAAGGCCAATACCTGAAATTTTCATAAGTTGACCTTTGTGACTTTAACCTTTGACCTAGATACTCCAAAATCTAATCATGTTGTCTACTTATGGTCATACATACTATCATCAAGTGTGAAGTTCCTATTTTTAAAAAAATTCTTGAGATATTGCGTTAACAAGACAGCGGGACAGACAATGCAATAACATAACGCCTCCGGCACCACCTTCAGTGGGCGGGGGCATGAAAATATTTCATTAAACATAAAACACAAACAAAGAAATAAAGAAATTAATAAATATAATAAGGAAACAAATACAAATAAATAGATGAACAAATAATCAAAAAAAAGAATATACATACAAAAAAATAAATATATGAACAAATATTTTAATTAGATGCTGCTTGTAAGTGTCGGCTTGCATGGTGATGTAGATATACAGTAGGCTTGCGGGTGCACCATGTGAGAGAGAGGATTGACGACGGATAGTCAATCTGTTCGAAACGTCGAGCCAGTCATCCTCTTCAAGCGCTATAGTTCTCCTTAGAACTATAAGCTAAGAAAGATAACAGTCCTTTTCAGGACTACACACCCTTAAGAAAGATTACCGAGTCAGAGTCCTTTTCAGGACTCCTCAATCCTCTCTCTCACATGGTGCACCCGCTAGCCTACTGTATAAATATTTTAATACGATTGTATTAACAAAGGATACTGATTGGCTTCATCCGACACTTGGCAGGAGCATCACAATTGCTACAGTTGACGGCAAACTCGTAGACTTCTTCTGGTGGGGCAACGTCGTCATCGACATCGTCATTAGTAACAGCAGCAGGTGGAGCATCTCCGTTAGCGGCAGGGTCAGAATCCTGAAAGAACAGGTAAAATTGATATTATTTGAGATGAGAGAGAAAGAGAGAGAGAGAGAGGGGGGAGGGGGAGGGGTAGAAAGAGAGAGATAGGGGGGTATAAAGAGAGAGAGAGGGGGGGTAGAAAGAGCTAGAGAGAGAAGAAAGGTATGCAATATAAATATATGAGAGGAAGAGAGAGAGAGAGAGAGAGATGGAGAGTAAACAGACAGACAGAGCCAGAGGGAGGAGAGAGAGAAAGAGAGAGGGAGAAGAGGTAGAAGGAGGTAGAAGGAGGAAGAGAGGAAGGAAAGAGAAAGGGGAAGTGGGAGTGGGAGAGGGAGAGAGAGAGAGAGAGAGAAAGAGAGAGGCAGAGCCAGAGGGAGCAGAAAGAGAGGGGGAAGAGAGGGAGAAGGAGGAAGGAAAGAGAAAGGGGAAGTGGGAGGGAGAGAGACAGAGACTAATATTCATGGCAGGGTGAGCTTTAGGATTTGGACAAGGGTTGAGGTTAAGGTCAAGCCATTGGGTCAGAGTTAGGGACAGGGTTTTGGACATGGTTACAATCAGGATTAGAGTTAAGGATATAGAAATAGAGGGGAATTCTGCTATTGCTCCATTTCGTCTGTTCAGAGCCAAACGGGCTTTTACCCCAATATAAAGGAACCCTGTGTATAAAGACCATTCAAGGGTGACACGATAAGCAGTCTTTATAGGCAGGTGGCCATTGTGTAAAGTTTCCTTTAGTACACGCTTCAATGACAGAAAATATTCCCGGGGAAAAGAAAATGTGGACTTCATAGACAGGTGGTCTTTCTAGGGGAAGTGCACCCTGATAAAAATTTGGTTCAAATAGAAGCAGAACAAATTAGAAGAACAGGTTAATGAAAGGCTGAACAAATTTTGATTAAAAATATGATGGTTAAGAAATTATGCAAGGAAACCTGTTTACTTGCTAGACTTCACTGTCAGACACTATTGAGTGACTGACTGGCTTTTTTTCTTCTTTGGTAATAACTTACATGAAAAGAGTTGTAAAGGGTACATGAGCATTTGTCTACATCAATAACCCACTTCTTGTGATGGCCAAGATTAAACTGATTGAATCTTTGCGCAGCATAAAAAGTATGACCATTCGGTACAATTGTCTGAAAATCAAGACTGTTACTTTTGGGCTCTATAGCCCTAAAGTCGATTTGACAACTAATAGTTGTTATTTTCCCACTTGAAGACATTTTCAAGCCCCACCTTTTTTAGGGAAGTTCTACATTAGTATTATCTTTCAAATGCAGTTGGAATTTAACTTTTTCATTTTTTTGGCCTGCAAATGGGACATAGTACCTTTAAGGTGCATGTATGATTGAAAATTTTCTTGAGGGAAATGAACATTTCTGTTTTTTTATATTTTTAGTAAAGATCAATGGGGGCGACCTCGCAAAATAGAGTTGCCAATTGATCTCAACTTCAAAATTCATAACTTTCTTAATACTTTTGATATGAATTCGCTCAAACTTTCACTGACCTGCTCCTATCATTTTTCTGCTTCTATTACAACAAACTTAATACTAGTCTGGACTTCCCCTTAATGGGATTGGGTAACTTTGTCTCTGAAACACAATCCTAAATTAAGCTCCTGCTGCAATGATAATTATAAACCTTTAGGCCAGTAAGGAACCCCATGACTTTTACAAGCCGATCGCCTGTCTGATTATCAAGATATTTATGATTGAAAGTCAAAATCAAATTTTGCGTTTTCATAACGGTTTTCATAACACTACAGTCTATTGGGGAAAATGAGTATGGTAATACCGGTCACTCAAAGGTTTTTACTTTTTTGAGGCACTTCTTGATCATTTTGAAGCGCAATTTTTTCGAGGGCTTCAATATTACACCCTATCACAGACACTGATAACACGTAGGGCCGTGCATCACCGATTTAACACCCTTTAAGCACCCTTCTGCCTCTGAACAGATAACATCATCTTTAGCATTAAGATGCATAATAGTTTGGATAAAATGCTCACTGCGTATCCAAGCGCCTGACATTGTTCCTTGGTGCGTTCGTAATGGCTGATCTTCATGGCAGGATCCGCTTTCGGTGCCAAGGGATTCTCGATGAAGCTGTTCCCAGAAGGATCGTTCACCACCTACCGGGAGAAAGTAATAATAATAATGATCCGTTCTTAAAGTGACTCAGTAACATTGTTGAAGGTTGATGCATAAAACTGTGTAATTTGTGTATGAAATGTTACTTCTTATATTCCTTCTACTGTACTTACTCTCTAACATGCACAAAAAAATGAAAAAAAAATGAAAAAAAATCTCAAACCACAAAGATATTTATGATTTCAACGTGTGACATCCTCTAACAGTAAATTCTCCCAATCTTTTTTGAAATTTACTAACTATTTTTCCATGAAAATAAGACATGAATCAGGCTTTTTAAAATCTTTCAACACTTAAACATTGCAATGGTACGTAGAGTCATTTCATTGCGACAATTGTCACTCACCTAAAATCTAATTACATTGTAATAACATAGTCGGGAGAATTATGGAATTTATCAGATCAGTTTTTCCCAATTTGTATCATTAATAATGGTCCGCTTTCACTCAAACTGTCAGATTATCTTTAATCATACATCTAGCATTAAAGTCCCTACCTTAGAACATCTGAACAATGTTACCAAGTCCCTTTAGGCAACACATAACACAATATAATATAACGTCCTTTTGCGCTTCGAAAGGTCTCAGAATGTTATTAGCCCAGCTTTAGGTCTTGCAACCATAAGGGTCAGTGCACTGATATCAGATGTTTGATTAAAGTCTTGGCTAAGGAGCTTAGTGCTGCTGCAGGGATTTGAACCCTGCACCTTATGGTTCACAGTCCCAGAGCTTCATCCACTAGCCCACAACACCTCTAGCAAACATGCAGGGCTGCTAGCTCCAGCATAAACATGACAAATAATGATGTTGATAATAATACTCAGGATAATGGTACTTATAATGCTAAATAATCTGTATGTTATCTCTTTATATATCACACAAATAATCTTCCTGTGCCACATTGTATTTATCATAGGATAGCTATACCAAAGGGTTCAAGATAATAATAATAATAATAGCCTAATAGTCCACTCCAAATTTTATTAAACCGAAACGGAAATTCTTTTTGCCCAATTGATCGTGAGCCCGGCAGCCACTGAGCAGCGCCAGATCGACGTTGCTCTATCCCTTATTGTTGAACGCCAAACAAGGTAGCAACAACTCCCATTTTTTAACGTCTTTTGGTATGACGCGGCCGGGGTTTGAACCCACGACCTCCCGGTTGTGAGGCGGACGCTCTACTGACTGAGCCAACACTCCGGTATTTAACCGTTTCCAGTGCAAGATTACTTTATACCGGTGTTAAAAGGTTGTCATGGAGCTAATCAAGATCAGAAATTGGTAATTCTGCATACATGTAGCCACTGTGTTGCTTAAGGTAATCCTTCCATCAATCGATGCTTATTGTGTTGTGCAAAATTGCACGTGTAGCAAACAGGCAACTGTGCCAAGCAACCAAAGTGATGACAGTTTAGTAGAAGTTAGACCATTGTGTTTTGATAACTCTAAAAGTGTGCACAGCTCAGTCGAGGTACTGCTGAGAATATTTTTTTTATAGATCCTTAAATGTTAATGATGTTGATAATTTCTCTTGAAAAATCAGAACTCATTACCAGAACATGTGACTACCCTTTAAGGAAATATATAAATATAATACAGTCCCATACATTCATGTTCGTGTCCTGTGGTGAGAAACTTACAAGATGGAATGGCCTGGAGATGTTTTTCAACTTCTCGATGAACGCACCGATCTGGACTGCTACATCCGGTTGCAGTGCCTGTCATAGCAACAAAATTCAAGGCTGAAAGTGAAAAATCAAAAGCGCACCTACAAACAAATACTAACATTCATCAAACTTTCAATATTCCTTACCTTTGGCCTAACGTACCAACAAAGGTTAAAAATCAACCCGCAAACCAAATAAAAAAAGCTAACGGTCGTCAAACTATCAATACATCTTCCATTTTTGAAAGAGAAAAGCAACTTCTTTTGTGTTTAACAGATGTAGACATATTATTTACTGCATACGTCATTGATTTGGAAAGTGACAATTTTTCATCAAACAAAAATGGAAAACTATAGCCCTTCACGATTATTCACGATTACATATACATGTGTATTCACTTCACATGGTTAAATCATTTGATATGGTACATCCTAAAATGCAAATTTTTAGTTTTTTACAATGATTAAATACATTCAAGCGCTGAATAAATCATTGTTAAAGTGGTTGGTACACTTCAAGTCAAATTCTAATCCCTAACTGTTCTTTTATCACAACTGGTTAGAGCAAATGTTGAAAACAATTGTTGAAGAAAACAAAATGGTTGGCTAAGACTTTGTTTAAGTCCTTACCTTTCGTAAGGGTTGCTCTTGTTCAAGTCCCTCCACGGCCCTCTGTAATACCCCTTCCACCGTCGACAGAGCTGGGTACAAATAAATGATAACATTGTCTTTAAACACAAGGATTTATAATAAATATCCTCGGCAGTATCTATGACTGAACTTTGAGAATTATCAAAACACAATGGTCTAAATTCTATTGAACTGTATTTATAACACTAGGTTTGATTTTTCTCTAAAATTGATTTACTTAACAAGTGATTAGAATCAAGATTCTAACTGCAGAAATGAAATTTAGGTTCCTATGCTAAACATAAAGTATAAGCAATTTCATCTTTAACAGACTAATATATTTTGAAGTCATCAACTGAAAAATAAATAAATAATGCAAAAATATTGATATATTACAAAACGCTACAAAGGCTTTCGTGAAGAGGGAAAACCAAATTTATATTGTTTGACAAATGCATTCAATAGTTTTTTTCCTATCACAGTACTATAATTTGATTTAAACAGTAATTACAATACCGCCCAGAAGTTATTGGGCATGTTTTTGCGGGGCGGGTTTTCCCCGATGTGTATTTCACGATAAAATCACGATAAAATATCGATGAAATACTGATAGAATCACGATAAAAATCACGATAATTTGCACACTAGTGAATGATTTCCTCTATCGGGGGATGCGTGTAACCCGCCTAATCCCCCGATAGTCTATCGTGTTTCATGGTGCGCGTATTTGCAACTAGTCAAGTCATGTCCTCTGCAAGCGCATGTCTTGCTCATCGCGCGCGCTAAGTCTTGATATGTATGATTTGTACGCGCAGTTCCGTATGTGTCTTTGTTTACGTCACAATAGAAAGTATTCACGAGTAAACATTACACACAGTTAAATACTAGTAAAAGCCGTCGCTAAATCACCGACACTGGGCGCGGATAAGCATCGGGTACTGATGCGGTGAAGCAACGAGTAGATCTAACTATATTCAAGTTGCAAAAACTTGCATGATTTGCATTCATTGAAATTATAATTGTGAGCACAATACCTTTCATTTTCACTGCCATATTTTCTGTTCGCCTACTCCATATATGCGTATCTCATTCCACAACCATGAAAGTGGTGAATAAATTCAATTCAATTCAATTCAACCTCCACCAAATAAAATAAAAATATTCCCAAGATCGTCGCTTCAGAAAACACGCACGCGATCAGATTCTTTCATTTGCCCTATCAGTATCACTGACAAGACTGCCGTAAGAAGGGTCTCCACCCCTAAAAGAGAAAACGTCCAATCATGGACATTCTTGCCTACTGGTCACGCGTAAAAGTTGCCAGGTGGACTAGTAACCAAGGTTACCAAAACACGCGTAAATAAACATTTTTAGTGAACGGCATTGGATGATTGATAAATAATAAAATCTGTAAAAATGGCATGGATCAATTACTGTAACTGTCTTCGGAGTGTGGATTAGACCAGAGTTGAATTAACAGGAAAACATGTAGGAGAGAGAGAGATAATTGAGAGGGAGGTAGTGTTGAGCTGGAGATAGATGAAGATATTATTCGAGAAGGAAAGGAGTTATGATCGAGGTCAGGATGGGAAAAAAAAACAAATAAAATGGATAATTATCTACTTAACAGGGTTGACTAAATATAAGTAGGCAAGACACCAATACGTTAGTCTATTTTCCGTACACCTTTCTACTTCCACTCCTTATTCATCGACACTAGACGAAAACGTTCATGGGTGGAGAAATGTGACAAAGAAGAGGGTGAGAGCATGGACCTACGTATTTGGAGAGCAAGAGAGACGAGAGGAAATCCCACTAGTATCTTCACGAGGGGGGGGGGGGGGCTACACGTAATAGAGAGAGAGAGAGAGAGAGAGAGAGAGAAAGAAAAATGTTTGATGGGAGCGCAGGCTAGCGAAATCATACTAAGGGAGACATTTACGTACATTTACTTTTGAGAAATAAACAGTAGGATTATGTCTGCCACATGCGTTGAGAGCTGGCTCCCCTCGGCTGACACATCGTAAATAACAAAGATAACATTCAATGACATTTTTAACCGAAGATTGAAAACTAGGTCATTCACACCTCTTTTTCTTTTTATCATTTATAATTACTTTGTACGATGGCGATGTTAAAAAATAGGATGTTGGAAAGGAAGAAAAAAAGTTGGATCGTAGATTAAATGACATTGATTTGGAAAACTGGAACGATGAAGTTCATGAAGTTCATGTTTCAATTACAGAATTTTTAAACAGGTAATCGGTTTGGAAGAATATATGTTAAAGTTGGATTTCAGTGATAGAACATCTCTTTATAAATATCGATGTGGTAATAGTAAGCTGCCCTGCCGTCTGCACCTGACCGTCACTAAAGTCAGCCTCTAGAAATTGTAGAATTGTGTTCCATATGTGATCTCAAAGTACAAGATGATGCATTTCATTATGTTCTCGTATGTCCAGCCTTTGGCTTTGATTAACATTCGCAATTATTTGTTAAGAGATAGTCAATTTAAGATTAAGAATTAAAACAAACCTTTCAACCTTTTAGATTCATTCATGGTTTGCTGCTTCGCATTAGAATATGATATAGATTTTATTTTTAAAAGCAGACCCGTATCACTATCATTCGCGAAGTTGTGTTTTATTTTTGTGGACATTTTTACAATAATAGCTCCTGTTCTAGTCCCTCTAACGTTTATTCGCGCTAATAATATTTATAATTAATTTGCCTGATGTTGCATTCAATTCATTTATGGTTTGCTGCTTCGCAATCGGATATAAAATAAATGATAATTTTAAAAGCAAACTCGTATCATTGGCGACGCAGGGGGGGGGGGGGGTGGAGGGGAGAAGAAAAGAAAAGGAAGGAGGGGAAAAGGAAGAAGAGTAAATCTCAAAATAAAATCAAATGGACAGACGAAACAAGCAGAGAATTCATCAATCGGAAATTCTAATTTTTTCGCCAATGAATTGAATGTTTAAATGACAAGAGAGCTTGCGTACATTTCATATTGTGTTTCAAGTGTTTCTAAACAATGGGTTTGGAGTCAAGGTGTCTGGCAGCATGTGGTTATCTCAGAAGTTAAGTATAAACAGATCATGTTCGCGCCGTAAGATCACATGATCATAGTAGTGATGATTGAACCTTCGAGAGAAAACTATAAGCGCGTGCATTTTTTTAAATCTTTACCTCATCATCTTTTCTGTTTTTTTATTTCTTTGTTTTTACCTTTTCTCGAAATATAAATATGTGTATGTATTCCCTTCGCTTGTTCCTTACGGTTCAAGGAGAATTACCCCCTTGCACAATCACCCCCTTTGTTTAATTCCTTGTTTTTCTTGCTATCAATTCGATCAATCATTTTTTTGTTGTTTATCCTTATTTCTTACCATATGTAGATCTTTGTTAAGCCGTTATTATTTATTATTATTATTATCATTATTAATCATCCTTCTGGTTTATTCCTTCGTAAATGTGTTTTAATACTTTATGTTTTTCTTAGATTTCTTTCTATCATTTTATATTTTGTCCTCAATCCTCGTGTATTTCTTTGTTATTTCCTTATGACTTATGTATTACTCCAATTTTGATTACGGGAGCTTGCCAACCCAGGTATGTGTACATGTATTTAGCTTGCATGCAAACTGAATGTCATAAAATAGAGATCGAGATCGAGGGGTTTTCCAATTCCGGGAATCCCTGAGCGCGCGCACTACATATCAAATTTCAACTACTTTGTGGACCACGAGGTACATTGGCTGATCGAGATCGCGTTGCTTTTGTTTTTGATAATACTGGTTTATGAAAATGCCGTTTGCGGTCTGTGGCAAAATTTGTAATGTGTAGGGACAGGGTCAACCGATTGGTATTATGAATGAATAAAATAACAATATTTTTTTTATTATTTGGAGTTACGGATCCTTTATTTATTCTGTTAATTTTCAATTCTCTATCTCTCTTAATTATCTTTGTCTGATATATTTCACTCTTCACTCCCTTCCCTCTTTCTTTTCTGTCCCTGTCAAGCTAACGGTACCCCTCCGCCTCTTCCCTTAATTATTCACGCCTTCCTGAAAATCTCACAACATACACATAATTCTTCTAGAAATAACAGCCGCATTTATCCATAAATTCTAAGATTCTACCCACATATTAGATCTGATATGTACATGTAATGATGAATACTCTCGATTAGACAGAAATAACCGTCTGATATGGGTCATTACTCTTTGATAAATCTTACATTTGTCAACATTCCTCATACACAGACGGTGACCCTTACGGCTCGCACGACGGGGGGGGGGGGGGGGGGGGGGGTGAGCCTTTCTTTTCTTCCCGTTTTTCCTTATTCAGATCTAATTTTCCGATCAATAAATCGGACATAAGAAAGTATGTATATTTCTTAAAATTCTTACAATTTTAATCAAGTAATTGCAATGGCGAAATTTAGGCGAATTAGATCACGCGTTTATGAATATCAAAATATCACCGGGTCAAGCCGTGCTGACTCGTACGCACATGTAGGTATCGGACGTCCGGGAAAAAAATGAGCATTCATCAACTCAAATCAAGATGGCTGCACAACAAATAATGTTAACGACAAGTCTTTCTTGGATTAAACATAAGCGGAATAGCCGTCGATATTAGAGACTGAAGCTTTCGGTCTAACTCTTGATATACTCTCGGATCTCCTCTGCCATGATATGAGCTATCCCAAACATTCCTCCCCCCTCAAATAAAAAAAAGATGTCGTATCGTGGGAAAGGCCAATTAGACACCTGGTTCTTGGTTTCTGCACTTCTCTCATCGGATAACTTTTCTCTCCGCATGCGCAATCCCAAACATTCCCCGTAGCACATTGTCTCGTGTATTTATGCATGGAATGAAAAGAGCATTCATTCACGCTTTTGTGATGTAATAATCAATTGATTGTGACGTCAGTGGCAAGCGCGCATCGGTATGTTTGAGGATGCGCAGGCTCAGCAAGCGTATAAATACTGCATGCTGTGCGCAGTTCTATCGTGATATAAAAGGAAATATCACGATATGCATCGGGGATTTAGCGAGTTGATCAAGTTGAGGAAAAAAATCATGATAGAGATGAATACAAATCACGATGTTTCTCACGATAAAAACACGATAAAACCCGTCTACAATCACGCTAACCTCCTATCGTGAAACACGATCCCGCATGCCCAATAACTTCTGGGCGGTATTGTAAATGAGAAAAGGAGGGAAGAAGGAAGGGAGAGAGAGAGGGAGAGAGAGGGGGATTGAGGGAGGGAGATAGAGGGAGGGAAGGGGGAGAGAGAGAGGGAGGGAAAGGAGAGAGGGAGGGAAAGGAGAGAGGGAGGGGAGGGAAAGGAGAGAGGGAGGGGAGGGAGGGAGAGAGGGAGGGGAGGGAGAGAGGGAGGGGAAGGAGAGAGGGAGAGAGGAAGGGGAGAGAGGAAGGGGAGAGAGGGAAGGGGAGAGGGAAGGGGAGAGGGAGGGTGAGAGAGGGAAGGGGAGAGGGAAGGGGAGAGGGAGGGTGAGAGAGGGAAGGGGAGAGAAAGGGAAGGGGGGAAAGAACAAGAAAGACGGAGACAAAGATAAAGAGTAAGATCTTCAATCATACTAACATCCTTTTTGAGTGAAACCGGGGATTTCAAAATCCAGTTCTGGAATACGCACAGATGCAGAGTTCGTCCTAATAACTTGCCTGTCCATATCCTGTTGATAGACAAAAGAAAAGAAAAAACAATTGCCTCGTCATACTACAGGAAATTTATATGATACAAATTCAAAGGAGTGTTATATAAAGAACCATCATATATCAAAAGTTGTACAACATATGCAGAGATGCCAACCTTCTTCAATAAAAAAAAAGTATTCTTAAGAGCAAAAAACTGTATTTTTGACAAAAAACAATATTTTTGAAAAAATCTCTCAACTTAACATATCGCCCAATCGAGCAGCTTAAAAAACCCGGCAGTACCACGTTTAGGTACCCGGATCGGAGCGCGACGTGCATACATTACACGTGGGTCGTCGCAATGTGCGCAGTTTGGGGCCCGTATCACCATCCTGCGTGCATCGATTGAAGATGTAGGTGCATAATACACTTACGACACAAAGCCCATGATCAGAAATTCAGAAAAACATCACTAAAAAAAAAAATAAAAAAAAAAAAACGTAACAAAACATACAAAAAACGTACTGCCGTATTCATAGCGAAAAAACGGAACAAACACAGCAAAAACAGAACAGTTGGCATCTCAGCATATTCTCCTCCCACAATATGTTCTGCTGTAATTTCATACTAACCAAATTCTTAACTTTAACCCTGGCCCAAAAAGTACACATAACCCTAACCCTAATCTTAACCATGACTCTAAGCCGAAACCCAACTGCAGCCTAACCCTAACCCTATATACTTTGACAAAATAAAACCCGAGCAGTTAGTTGGCAGAGCAAATGTTAGATCACCATAGCGTAAGGCGCATGGCAACATGCTTGAATATTGGATAAATATATAATTGTATAAAAAAGCATAGTACACATTAGAAGAAACTAGTTTTTAAGAGGTCAGCTGACATGACAGCTGGCAAATCATTGGTGCCCGCTCATGGCAAGTCCAACCACATCCTTTTAAGCCAAACATTGTACAGCAAAACACATGTTTGAGCATCAATTCAAAAGGAAAAGTGATAAAGAATCAGGGTCCTGTTCTATTCTGAACGTCGTATCATAAAGGTATGATATAACTGGGCAGGGCTTATCTTGAGCATGCACTAACGATTGGCCAGCTGTCGTGTCCATTGACTTCTCAAAAAACAGTTTCTTTATACAAGGTTTGTTTTAAATACAAGGTAGTTTTCTAGTCTGCACTCCTCTTTCACAATACAAAAATTCTTATTGTGTTTCTTTATATATGACTTTCATGTAGAGGTGCAGTGGTCGAGTGGTTAAGTCGCCGGACTGTCGATCACAAGGTCCGCGGTTCAAGACCCGCCGTGGTACTAATGTCCTTTGGAAAGACATTGATCTACATTTGGCACACTCAACCCAGGTGATGTAAATGGGTACCTGGCAGGAATTAATTCTTTGAAAATGCTAGAGCAATGGCAGCACAGCTAAAGCCGGGTAATAAGTTTGGAAGCGCTTAGTGATTCTAATAAGCGCTATATAAAAACTGAGTATTATTATCATTATTATGTGAATTTCTTATAGTCTTCTGTCTTGATCTCAACCTCATAGACAACAGTCAGCCGGCTATCTATCAGTGCCCACTCACAGTAAGGCTAGGGCCCGTTGCATAAAACCATCAATGGCAACTACCATGGTTACAGGGCTCAACAGCCAATCAAAATCAAGGTTTCCATAGTAGTGATTGACATGAAAAAGTTTGTTACCTTTTCCGTCCTAATCTCGACCTCGTGGATACATCCTTGTGGTTGCAAGGCACTGGCCGGCTGGATCTCGTTGTTGGTGTAGTGACAGTGGGGGCAGTCAAAGGAACTGATGACGACAGACTTGAAGAACGGAATCCTGGTCAGGAGAAGCTTCGTCGTCCCCTGTGAGAGTGGGAGAGAAAGAGATAAGATGAGAGAGAGAGAGAGAGAGAGGAAATGGAAGAGAATAGAAAGAGAGAGAAAGAAAGAGAGAAGTGGGATGATAGTGACAGATAGAAGGGTAGGAAGGGGATGAGAAGAAGAGGGAGAAAGAGGGGGGAATAGAGAAAGAAAGAAAGAGAGGGAGAGAGGAAGAGATCAGGAGGGGGTAGAAAGTAAAATGGCATAAGGGAGAGAGAAAGACGGGAGAGAGAAAGAAGGGAGAGAGAAAGAAGGGAGAGAGAAAGAAGGGAGAGAGAAAGAAGGGAGAGAGAAAGAAGGGAGAGAGAAAGACGGGAGAGAGAAAGAAGGGAGAGAGAAAGAGGGGAGAAAGAAAGAAGGGAGAGAGAAAGAAGGGAGAGAGAAAGACGGGAGAGAGAAAGAAGGGAGAGAGAAAGAGGGGAGAAAGAAAGAAGGGAGAGAGAAAGAAGGGAGAGAGAAAGAGGGGAGAAAGAAAGAAGGGAGAGAGAAAGAAGGGAGAGAGAAAGAAGGGAGAAAGAAAGAAGGGAGAGAGAGAAAGAAGAGAGAGAGAAAGAAGGGAGAGAGAAAGAAGGGAGAGAGAAAGAGGGGAGAAAGAAAGAAGGGAGAGAGAAAGACGGGAGAGAGAAAGAAGGGAGAGAGAAAGAGGGGAGAAAGAAAGAAGGGAGAGAGAAAGAAGGGAGAGAGAAAGAAGGGAGAGAGAAAGAAGGGAGAGAGAAAGAAGGGAGAGAGAAAGAGGGGAGGTAGAAGCTTTCTCAAGGATCACTATCTAAATGCAATATTACTTTATCTACCGGTATACTAAAAATAAACTTGACTTCTTTTTGTGCAATTGCATCCTTAAAGAATATGTCCAGAAGCAATTAGAAAAGGTTGATTATATAGCAACCTAAGACTCAGTGTAAGCTGTGGGATTTTTTTAATCATCAAAATGATAATTGTTTCACATAAAAATCACATAATTATATTGATTACAAAGAAAAACACATGAATTATACTTATATCACAAAAATTAATGATACCTCTTTTAACATTTAAGTATTATTCAATTAATATATGATGGGGGGGGGGGGGAGTAATTGATTAGGTCTTACCTAAAGTCACATGTACTTCACACAGAAATGTATACACGGGACAACACACACATGTCTGGGGCATGATCGTATGGTCCAAACTCTTCAGCTAATTCTCATCACAATTCAAGTATGAAGAGGCCATAAGAGCCATTCTTTTCAGGGGAAATTGCTTCCATGATATCCTCTCACTTTAATAAAAGGAATGAAAAAGCTCACAATTTATTGTTTGCCTAACCAGGAATCCAGGGCCCTGTTTCATAAAACGTGTTATCAATAACACACACTAAGTTTCTATGACAAATCTGCTCTTAGCCAATCAAATGCGTGCGCGCGTGTGTGTTTGAGTATTTGTGTGTTCAATATCATGTAGCTTAGTATTTCCATCCTTTGTACATGTATAAGTTCCATTCTTTTTATTCACCTTGCCATATTGTTAATGTACGTATTTTGTTGACTATAGGGCCCGCTCACCCCCTTCTAAAGGGGTCCTACACCATTCATTTTATGATGTAATCAAGTTAATATATGTTAATTAAATGTACTATTACCAGTCTCTTTTTTATGTAAAAGATTATATCATGTTTTGTGTGGTTTTGGATAAAATTAACTTGAATGCTACTATTTCAGTAGCTTATAACAGTTATTGTAACTTGTTAATGACAACAAGCTTCATGAAACACTAACAGGGCTCAGAACTTAACTTCTCCTTGATCTCGAAAAATTTCACATCAACTTACATTTTCCTCACAGTTCACACACAAGCTCTCGATCTCCGTGGCCTCGAGGTCATCCAGGTCACCAGAAATATTCTTGAAGAGGGGCTGAGAAGTGGCCTGTTCTTCAGTTGCCATGGTAACTCTAGTATTCCTTCTGGGAAAAAAATTGATGCAGAAAGGGTAGTGTACATGCATGACGGGTGGTTCAAATGTCACAGTAAAATGCAGCAGCTTAAAGTTTAAAACCGCAGATGTGTTTTTAGCGTACTACCGGCACTGCACTTCATATCTTATATCATACGGACAAGACAGTACACAGGGTGACTAATGCACTTGTCATTTGTAAGACGCACCTCTTGACCCCCGGGAATGGTGCGTCATGGTTGCGTCATGTTCCCCAAAATCGCGACGCACAGTACCGTCATGGCCGCAAAATGTCCGTCACAATACTGACCCTTATGTGCGTCATAGTAAGTCACTTTACCACGTTGCGTCATTTGGTGTGTCAATGGGACCGTCACTTTCTCCAAGCAGAAGTATTTCTCAAATGTGCGTCATTGGCTAGTCATTTTCATGAAATGGTGTGTCATATGTTTGACTCAAATGTGCGTCGATGGAATGTAATGGTGTGTCACTTTCTGTGACGGAAGGTGCGTCATGGTATCAAAATGTACGACTCACATCGGTACAATGACGCACCATTCCCGGGGGTCAAGAGGTGCGTCTTACAAATGACAAGTGCATAAGAACTGACATGTACACAACATTAACATGATGGTCATCTTGTATTTTCTGATGTAATTGTTTCATCGACTCCTAGTCTCGACTCAAAAAATTATGATTCATCATAATTCACGTCGAATTAACGAATTAAAATCAGAAATTAAAGTCTTACTTTGCAAGATTTTTAAGGCATTTATCGAGCTTGAAATGTCTACAACAGCTGTCGCTAGCTATACATGCAGCGTGCGTTCATTCTGATTCTGAAAGTGACATACATGTACGTTGTACATAATTATACTGTACATGTACGTACATGTACTATGATGCTAGCTGCCTGCGCAACACACGTCGCTTAACTAGCTACCTTGAAATGTATTCAACATCAGCCAAACAAGACAAAAAATATAAACACACTGGCCCGTATTCTGAAGTCGTGTCTAACTCCTGTTTAACTAAACAGTTGTCCAAGTCCTGTCTAAGTCCCGTCTAACTTTAGTCACAAAGTCGTGTCTAATAACTTTTTTTGTATTCTAAAGTCGTGTTTAAATAAGGTTAAACACGAAGTCCTGTCTAAGTCCTGTTTAACTTTAGACAACTGCGAGGGGTTGTTTAAGTCCTGTTTAAGGGCGCGATTCTGCTGCTTTTCAACGTGTATGGTACTCTCTACCTGCTGACCCCGAATTTGCGATAAGAACGATAGTACGGGCATCCTCTAAAATTTCAAAAACGTTTTGCAAGATTTGTTCTCGTGTAGCCTGATTTTTTTCTCGATAATATCAACTATTCTTATCTACTGGTGACATCTTGGAAATTCCATAATCTCTATAATAAGCTAACCATTCTTTTGGAGAAGTTTCTTTTCTGATTCTTCCGAGCACTGAGGCACTGATAAGTGATATTATTAGTGTGTTTGTCAATCCAGTGTGTGTACACGTATACGTAAGTACGTACACAGTATAAGTACAAAGCGACATGCAGTCTAGTCATTACGTCACGATCACATCACCATGGTACCACTACCAGCACGCACACAGCTAGCTGTGCGCGTTAATTTATTTATCTGGTGCGCGCATGCATGTGCATTGGGTCTATCGTCAGAATTAACGCCTACTGGGCATGCGCCGAAGTCGTGACTAAAAGTTAAACACGACTTGCGCAGAACTTAAACAAAAATTTGGTTAGACAGGACTTAGACACGACCTCGCATTTAAGTCGTGTCTAACTAAACAGTGGTTTAACTTTAGACATGACTAAGTTAGACACGACATCAGAATACGGGCCAGTAAATTTTGCATAGTATAGTAAGACTTAATTTTTGATGTTATTTATTGCTCTTAAGTCTTAAGACTTAAGTAAAACTTAAGTATGATGCACATGCATTTCAATTGTTTCAGGCTCTTGGCGTGGTAGCTGTGCCAGACTCAAAGTTGCTTAAGCAAGCACGAGCGCTGTGTATATTAATTATTAGACTTGGGGTGGATGCAACGATAAGGACTAGGGATACGTCAGAAAATAATGGATGACCAACACAGAGCTATCAAGTATCACACATTAGGCGTGACATCACGCAGTTCGAGGGTCTGAAAAGGCTCTCACGCACAATGCGCGCCCTCGATTTAGAATAAACGCTATACCTTATACGTGTGTTATACCCTCGCCCGCGCGAATGCGCGTCGATTCATGAAAATGTCACGCATTGCTGACCTTTAAACTTGGCGTCTCTGCCAACATGATTTATTGATTAATTTACTGAGGTCAGGGTACCGTACAGTTTTCAAGAGTGACAGTTATTGCGATACGCTCACGCTCACACAGCTCAGAACTGATGCTAAACGACAGCTAGGCCTAGGCATGCATACATAAAGATCCCAACCCAAGGGGGCGTTGTGGCCCGATGGCATGCACCTGTGTAATTGAGCTATCAAACAATGGAAGTTACCAACTGATTCAGCTGAGGATGCAGGTTCGAAACCCGAGTCACGTCTTTTGGATGGTGACGTTAAAGGTCGGTCCCCAGAAGTAAATAATCATATCTGATTGATACACGTCTGTAAAATCCCAATTACACACACACACACCAGCCAGAGTACTGCGCGAATCATGTCGCTCGGCGTTGGTAACAACTGCACTGTACCCGTACCCACCCAAACCTTAGTTTTGGATTGACGATTATGATAGACACGTTGTGGCAAAGTCAATCATCGTTTCACAATTTTACTCATTCAAAGTCACATAATTAATGCTGTCAATTTATTTCTCAGCATGTATCGACATATTACATAAAGCTTAGTTCTACGTTACGGTTATCGAATACATACCTAGTTACAAAATCAGGTTTGAACTTGAAATGTTGAAGTTGAATTATCCTCTCAGTTTCGCACTGCATGCATCGCTTAGTATAGTAGAAACATGTACATATGTGCATGCAAGTCACACGAAGACTGGATCAAAAGTTGGGGACATTATTATGTGTACGTCGTAATCGCTCTGCTCTGGAGAACGGAGTACAGTCTTGCTGTGACATCACGTTAGCCTAGAAGATTCGGGGACTTTCCCCGATCGGCCGGTCATTGACGGGCGGGGTAAAAAAAATAAAGAAAATGCTGTAAACTCAGCAAGCAAACAGTTTTGGCTGTAAGAAATAATCGTTTCGTTATGTTAAAGTAAGAATTGTTTTCGGGGGGGGGTGGTGGTGTGTTGATACGCATGCATTAATACAATTCAGTATAAACAATTAAACAGATTAGCTGAAGTACTCTAAAGACTAGTAGCTATTTGTAATTTTTTTTAAACTGTTTAGAACAAACTAAAATCAATAAAGAAAGAATGATTCCACCTGAAGGTTTCCGACAATTCTTATAATGCATCAGGGAGGGGGGATCGACATATTGATGCCCTCAAAGCTGATGATTATTTGAAACCAGGGTTTGTACACTGGTTACAACATTCCATCTAGTAATTATGATAAGAGAAGCGACAAGAAGAAAAATTTGTACTTCGGAAGGTTGAATCTCTATTTTAGAAAACTGGGAAACTTATCCATACTGCAAATTATTTAGACATGCTGTCTTATAATACGAGCTGGGGCGGGGGCAAAACGAGTTTACCTTTTTTCGGGGCAGTGGGGTAAAGAATTTGTGAAGTACACTGCATCCATAAGCTCACGAGGGACTGTAGCGACCGAGCGAGAACATTTTAAAGTTTGTAATGATATAGCCGTATTGTATAGCCATCGTTATGGGCCTTTACATCCACATCCGGATTCACATAATTTTCTCTTGCGAGGGGGCACATTGGGAGGATCCAAATCCATTGATACAATCAAGACAAGATAGATTATTATTTTTTGTAACTTCGCATTGTTATATCATGCACTATGCAAAGCTATAAATTGTTATACTTCAAAATTATGGTCTTTTAAAGGGGCAACAATTATCATGCAGAGGTTTTCCCTGAGTGAAACCGTTATCCTTTAGCGGCTCTGAAAGCCGACAGGATTTAAATAAAAGTATTGAATAATACTCCATCTGTGAATAATACGATCGAGAAAAAAATTATGTTTGTGAAAGTTTTTATTTTGGAGCAATACTGCAAATGATTGATGTCACGAGGTTTTGTCTTGCAAGGGGGGGGGGCGGGGACAAAAATCCTTGACAAAATCTTCAACATCTCTTTTGTTAATACAATAGTACTCTTAATTTTACTGTGGTTTGAAAACACTGTACTAAATGCAGGCACGTAGCAAGAGTTTGATATTATTATTTTTTTTTTTTTGGGGGGGGGGGGCACATACATGTAATCGATCGAGGTAAAAAAAAAGGGATCTAAAAAAGTTCAACCGATCTTGGAAATTTTGGGGGCACGTGCCCCCCCCCCCCCCCCCCCTGGCTACGTGCCTGACTAAATGGTCAAAAATTAAGGGGCAGATTGACCAGGCCGGTCAATCTCCTTTCGGTACCTTACCCCTTTAGAGTGGGAAAAGTTTGCATTTCAAAGTGGAACGGTCACAATACTCTCTCTCTCTCTCTCTCTTTCACTCCAATCTCCATTTATTTTTCTTCTGTGCTGTACACTACATCAAATACACAGATTGGATCATCCCAATGCATTTATCGATAATTTGACTAAATTGCCAGGGAGAGATGTGGGTTTTCACGGCTAACATCTACATGTAAAACCTTGTCAACTATTTTGTGTTGATAGTGATCGGTTGCCCTAAACTGCTTTGACTTAACTTTACCAAAGTATTACATAAAACATGTTCTCAGTGAATAATCCGGATTTGAACTTTATGTCAAACACTGTTGTTTGAAGCTACCAACAGAAATAGTTATCCGGAAGATTGCGGCATATTTCAATGATGCAATTATGGTTGAATAGAGTATGGCGCTCCTCCAACAGACGTAAAGCATGTATAGATTGAGCTCGAAACATTTGCGTAAATATTAATTTAGAACATGTCATACGTCTTGAGACAAGTGAACAATATTCAGTAGCTGCAATTCCAAGCTTGAAACATCTGCAATTAACACAATACCCAACCTATTTTCCAAGCTATATTATATTTACAGGCAATATAAATATAAATATAAATAGCTCTGGACCGCATGACCCCAAAATATCCATAGATCTTAGACACGATGGATACTTCCCACCTGTGCATTTTAGAATATTCACTGCCAAAGTGATGGAGGTGCTTCATGAACAGTGGCGGATCCAGGGGGGGGGGCGGCCCGCCCCCCCCCCCCCCCTTGAGAAAAAAAAACATGTAAAAACACGACATTTATAATTTATTAATTATAAACTTGACTAAGTTATGATAAAACATCGATAGTTCTCGGTTTCGTTTTTTCTGGGACGCACTGTATAGCTATAACTAAGCTACAGACTTGTTGTAGATCTTCCAACTTGGAAACGAGATCATTATTGACAGCAGCAGTCAGCAGAGAAGTTGTTTTCAAGCAAATGGGTGACGTCATCGACGGCCTTAATTGTCACAGTACTTTTGACATCAGAGCCCAGCCATGTGAGTGCGGACTTGACGTTGAGGGTGTCATCCTGTAGAAGATTCTTGGCGGCGATGCCTTCGCGCTGCACATCATCCTCGGCTTGGAATCGCTCAGCATCCTTCATCATGCGTTCGATGTCGTCTTTGGACAGTCTCTTATCATGGTGGATAGTGATCCCGTTGGTGTGGCCCGTCATCAAATCCTTAGCAGTGACGGTCAATAATTCATTGGCGTCAATGTCGAAAGTAACTTCGATCTTAGGGACGCCATGCGGAGCAGGAGGTATCCCGGACAACTCAAACTGGCCGAGGCGATTGTTGTCCTTGACCATAGCCCTCTCTCCTTCAAACACCTGTATAGAGACGCCTGGTTGGTTGTCCGAGTAGGTAGTGAATCTCTGGGATGCTCTGGTTGGCACCATGGTGTTCCTATCAATGATACTTGTCATCGAGCCAGCCGCCGTCTCGATACCAAGAGATAGATGAGCAACATGCAAACAGACAATATCTTTGATCTTGTGTACATTGGCTGCATACAACGCTGCTCCGTGGGCTACAACTTCTTCAGGGTTTATGGACATGTTGAATTCCCTTCCGTCCAGGAATTCTTGAAGAAGCTTCTGGATCTTCGGGATTCGTGTCGATCCGCCAACAAGGATTACTGTATCAATCCTCTTCTTATCAATCTTGGCATTCAGCAGTACTCTTTCTACCGGCTGCAAACACTTTTTAAAGAGATCCGAACACAGCTCCTCGAATTGTGTTCTGCTAATGCTAGTGTAGAAGTCGAGGCCTTCGAAAAGAGAGTCAACTTCGATACAGCAATGAGTGCTGCTTGATGCACGTTCCACTGCTTTACGAAGGCGGTGTAGTGTTCTTCGGTTAGTCATCAAGTCTATCTTGTTCCTGCTCTTGAATTCCTCAACGAGATGGCTGACGAGTCTGCTATCGAAGTCCTCTCCGCCGAAATGTGCGTCTCCAGCCGTCGTCAGTACCTCGAATATCCCATCTTCAATGACAAGGAGTGAGACGTCGAATTTACTTCTATCGAGATCGAAAACAAGAACATGCAGTTCTTGACCGTCAGACTTCTCATCGAGACCGTAGGCGAGGGCGGCAGCGGTTGGCTCGTTGATGATCCTGAGGACGTTAAGACCCGCGATCACCCCTGCCTCCTTGGTCGCCTGTCGCTGTATCGTTGAAGTAAGTAGGAACAGTGATGACGGCATCGGTGACCTTCTCGCCAAGGTAAGCTTCTGCTGTCTCCTTTATCTTGGTCAGAACCATGGAGCTGACCTCTTCTGGAGACAGTGTCTTGGTTTCTCTAATGTGCTTTACCTGCAGCATCGGCTTGCCGTCCTTGTTGATGACGGTGAAGGGCCAGTGTTTCATGCCTGACTGTACAACCTCGTCATTGAACTGTCGCCCAATCAGACGCTTGGCATCGAAGATTGTATTCTTGGGATTCCTGAACAGATAGAGAAACAGGAAAATAGAATTACCTATCACATAGGCCCAAATACCATGTTATGTCAATATTAGTAGGGAGATCTGTGACAGGAACAAACAATCGTTTTTTGTGGGGAAGGGGGGGGGGGGGGGGGACTTCACCGGACCTCCGAATCGCTCATAGAGGGTGGAGTGGGAACAATAATTATCATCCCGACATAACTCCCAGCTCGCTAAATTGAGGCCGGGGTAACAATGTCGGATTATAAATACACGTACTTGGTTTTCTCTCTCTCTCTCTCTCTCTATATATATATATATATATCTTTCTCTCTCTCTCTCTCTCTCTTTCTCTCTAGATCCTCCTTCAGGGGTTCGCGACTGTTTGGGTCCTGGATTTCCCTATGAAGACACGTTTATATATTCAAATGTTTCTTTCGTGGAACAATGTCACACTTCATGAAACGTGCACTAAATCTCAAATCACTTACTCTGACATCTGATCCCTGGCCTCATCTCCAATCAGTATCTCCCTCTCTGTGAAAGCAACGCAACTGGGTGTGGTCCAGTTTCCATAGTCATTGGGAATGATCTCCACCTTCCCATTCTGGAAGACTCCTAAACAGGAACACGATGTACCCAAATCAATCCCGATCACTGGGGATTTTCCTGAAGCCATTGTATTTTATTTTATCTCCAGCTGCCTGGTTCCTCAAATATCAACTTTGATGATGTTCAAAATAAGCGCTCCTGACTTTTTTCTGAAATAGTTGCCGCAATAAATTCGGGAGTATCCGAATGTGTGGGCTCATTTCTATATTTCTATACTTGGTGATTATTTGCAGAATCGTTTGTTCTGAACAGTTTGATAGTCGAAGCTTGAAGTGAACTCTGACAAAGCGTCGATTTTTCTAATTGGCAAAATGTTCGTCGTCTATTTGTCTGCAGCTCTTC